TTAACGCCATCACGAGTTGTTTGTATTTGAGTAATAGCTCTGGTTCAATCGCAAGTCGCCACGGTTAACTTACTTTCGCTAGGAACAACGACATTAAATAAGCATACAAGTATACCATCATTTCTCAGAGTACAGAACAGGACTGATTTCCACGGTGGGGGCTAATACTTCTACAGAGAAAACTTATTCCCACAGTGGAGGGTCCTTTCTACGGTAGAGACTCATTTTTACAGGAGGCTCATTTCAAAGGAGGAGGCCAATTTCAATACAACAGGCAGCCTTATATGTGTGAGGAAAACAAGAACCATTGCCAAGAGGAGGGATGGTTTTGTTTTACAGTGTGTGGCAGTGGAACTGCTACCGGCCACCATATTTATAGTATCAGGCTAACACATCTCTGACTAAATGTATATAATATGTACAACACACTTGAAAATGTCACACAATTTAAACAAATCACACACCTGATGTGAAACATCATTATGAATTGTGTTGAGGAGAAAGCAATGATCACAAAGAGTGCCATTATCCAGAGGATGGGAAGCATTGCCTTCTATTGTTTCCACACAGTCCAGGTTCTGACAGGAAAACAAAATATGGGAACAAAATAAGGACAACCAACATCTTACACATATAAATGTATGTCTACTTTAAAATGTCTAAATTTCCAAGCTAGACTTGTAAATGACAACAACATCACCTATATAGACAGGAAGGATTGATTGAGGAAAAATTGCATTTTTCACATGTACATATATTTATCATATGAACATGTATGCGTACATCAAAAGGATGTGCTTACCGCTTTTCTCCATGACTGACAAAAATGAAACTTACCTCAAGTGGACGGAGGAGTATAGCAATGCTGAAGCAGATGAGAAAAAATATATACAGAGCAAGCAGCTGATAAAACCTGGCAAGAGCAGATATACAGTGTACATTAACACACATTTGTGATGAACTGATAACCAGCTGGTGAGACAAGACCATGCTAATCAAGATATACATAGGTCTAGCAAAATAACTGCCTGCATGCCTGACTGACCGGCAGATGGACAGGCAGACAGACAGATGGATGGGCAGACAGATAAATGGATGGACGGACTGACTAACAGTGTGATTGAATGATGGAGATACAGGGGAGGACAGACAGATAACAGGACAGTGAAAAAAAATATGTCAGACTAACGTACCATTTCTAAAGATCAAAAGCGTCATACTCAGAAGTAATTCAATGGTCAACTCTGAATGGTTCATAGTTACAAATGACACACCACCAAGCTGACTTGAAGTGACAAAATCTATTCATGCTGATACATGACTGCATGCTGCTAACAAATTGTATTTTATGTACAAAAAGTTCCGTCCTTGTTGCGTGTTTGTTCACATACCTGTAGCGACAAGCATGATTCCATTTCTCTTTGAGCAAATTGTTGAGGATGCCATCAAAGAGGGCCAAATGTGATACAGATTCCTAACACAAAATAGAAAAAAAAAGAAGAAAAGAATTTGAATGATTTTAAAAAAGAGGAAATCAAATTAACAGCTTACTGCTTGGAAATATTGCAAAAAGGGAATTATAATAGCGGGTGATGGGCTACAGGGATCAATCGGTGAAGCAGAGGGCACGTCCATGTACCACTGACATACTACATACTGACATACTACAGTGAGTGACAAAAGTGTTGAGACAC